CGGGCGCCAGGGGGCGGGCCCGGGGCCACGGCCAGACCAGGTGAGAACCCTCCTAACCCGGCCCTCTCCCCCCCACAGCCTTCGCTCGTCTGCCTGTGCCCCGAACCCAGCTGCGCCCCGGGGCGACGGGGCTCCTTCTGCGCCCCAGACTGGGAATATCGGGGAGTCGCCTCCCCTGGGCCGCTGCCCATCGTGACAGCCTTCTCCTTCAGACGGGCTCGTACTGGGCCGCTCGTTAGGTGGCGCTGTAGAGGCGCGATCCGAGATGGGTTCAGCCAGCTGCACCAGGCAGGACCCCTCTCTGCTCTCGGCTCACCCCTCTCTCTCTCCTCTCCCCTCCCAGACACCCAGGCCACGAACCGCGCGCCTGACTCCACCACCAGGGCCCTGCCTCAGGTAAGAGGGTCTGTCCGGGGTTGAGTTCAGTGTCCTGCAGATTCTCGGGGGTCTGTCCTCAGGGTGACCTCAAGTCACCTTCCCCGAGCGCCTGAGTGCTTCGCCGGGCGTTCACTGGGGTGCTCTGCCCTTCGTACGTGTGGGCCTCGTACTGCTCTCTCGCGCTCGGCAAGCCCCTGGGAAAGGCGCTGTATGGGACAAGGCTGTTAGTCAGCGTGCTGTTGCAGAAGTGGGGTGCTCGTCGCGCCCCGCTGTGACGGTGTCCCGCTGTGTTGCAGGCGGGCCGGCCCTCCAGCTCGGGAGCAGTCATTGACCTGACCGAGGACGACGACGACGTTCAGGGTGAGTGCGCCCACACACGGCTCCCTCCGGCTCGGGGCACCCCGGGGCACCCCTGGGGAGCAGGAGGAGGAGGACGGCTGGTGCAGGGCTGAGGCACTGGGGTGCTGCTGCGAGGGGCTCCTCTGCAGTGGGTGTGGGCGCTCCGGGTCGCCCCGAGTCTGAGTGGGCACTGTGGGCAGGGCTGTGCTCCGCCGTTGAACAGCAACGGGAGCCTCGGTCAGCTACTGACAGGTGTGTCTGTCTCCAGTGACAGGAGTGAAGAAGGCACCTGTGCAAGCGCAGTCCCCATCTTCCACTTCCACCTCCTCCTCCTCCTCGCAGCAGCCCCTGGGGCAGCGAGCGCCCCCCCCGCCTGCTCCTGTGGCACCTGCACCCACCGCCACCCCCCAAACACAGGCGGGCACCACGACCATGCACGTCCTGCCAACGAGTGAGTGAGGACAGGGGGCTGTCTGAGGGGCCCGTTCATGTGCTGGAGTGTCCAGTCAGTGTGTCTGTATGAACCCCTCTCTCTCTCAGTGCAGTGTTCATGTACTGGAGTGTCCAGTCAGTGTGTCTGTATGAACCCCTCT